CCTCATTGTCGATGCAGTAGGTCTCGTCCGTGTTCTCCACCAGCTGGTGCACGGAGAGGGTGGCGTTGTAGGGCTCGACCACGGTGTCCGACACCTTGGGCGAGGGCATCACGCTGAAGGTGTTCATGATGCGGTCGGGGTACTCCTCCCGGATCTTGCTGATGAGGAGGGTCCCCATCCCCGACCCCGTGCCGCCCCCCAGCGAGTGGGTCAGCTGGAAGCCCTGCAGGCAGTCACAGTGCTCGCACTCCTTCCGCACCACGTCCAGGACGGCGTCCACCAGCTCGGCGCCCTCCGTGTAGTGGCCCTTGGCCCAGTTGTTCCCGGCACCGGTCTGTCCTGGGACAGAGGAAGAGCAGACACTGTTCAGACAGGGCTACGGAGGGAACTGTGCGACGGAGAAGATTGGATAACGAGGAAATCAGGTAACAGGCTGAGGCTGAGCGACAGTGGGGCCGACGGCCCCAGCAGCTCTGCCGGGAGCGCTGAGAGAAGTGAAGTCCATCAGTGTTGAGATGGACATACGTTTGGACCTGGCAATTTTCCTTTCCTTTTTTTTTGAGGGGGAAGGTAATTAGGTTTATTAGGTTAATCAAAGTAAATGATGCAGAAATCTATTTGGTAATAAATTATAAAGACAAGTCATTGCTGAATGGAATGTGCAGCTAAAATGCTAAGCTGTTGAGGAAGCAAGGGAGGTTTTGAAAAGAAGAATCATGTATTCTTAAAAAATTAAAAAATAAATCTATCGGCTCCCTTATCAGATTCTCCCTGCTTATCCAACGAAACAGACCATTATGGTCCCACTGCTGGAGGTGGAGTGGGCAGGAGATTTGGCCACGTCAGGTGGACACACGAGACAAGCAGAGCAGAGGTGCCAAGACCGTCTTGTCGGGCTGGCCCCATACCGTGCGGACCTCTCCCCGCTGATTCCAAGCTGGTGGCCACAATTCACCACCCACGCATCTCTGCTGTGGGTGGGCAGGTCAGTACCTGTCGCTGTGCACCGCTGGGGACCCTGAGCTGGGGGCTGCCCCTTGAGACCCTCCCAGCACAACATCAGGAGAAAGCTGCTGGGGGGCGGGGCCTGCTCACAGACACCCCTGGACTCGGCAGTTACCCCAGGGGCGGCCTCACACCAGAGGAAGGAGTCAGCTCAGATTTCTTTGGCTCTCCATAGCACTGATCAGCGCTGAGCACTGTTGTGTAAGGTGCAAGTCTGGAAAACAAGGAAAACAACCCAAGTTCTGTGACCCTTCAGTGAGTTTAAGATGACTGTGAGTGATCCGTACCTCATGCCGGGGGCGCCCCGTCTGAAGTATCCAGGGGAGTCCCACCGATCAGTAAGGATGCCAGCAGCCTTTGGGGGGGTGCACGGGGTAAACCCAGCTCACAGGGAGGGAGATGAAAATGGCCTACGTGGGGCTTACTCCTCAGAAGGCAAATGCAAACGCAAACAAGGAGCTTCCACTTCACCCCATAAAACTGACAGCTCAGAAAGCTCGGGACACCATGCTGACAAGGGCCCGGGGTGAGGCCCCTCCACACGGAGCTGCCCAGGGCACAAGGAACCTGTGGAGGACAGTTTAGCCTCCTCGATCTGAATGGGTCCCCCAGACTTAGTAGCAGCTCTACCCGAAACGTGCAGAAACTCACAGAGAAAGGGGGACAACTCAAATGTCTAGTAACAAGAATGCGTTGTATCAGACAGATGCTGCAAAGGAAGGCAGCCTCCATCAACCTCAGGGCCGCAATGGAAAGGCTCCAGGGTACTCTGCAGACGGGAAGACCCGAGGACCACAAGGTGCGTGGAGCTGGCTGTGTGTGCGTGACAGTGTAACTCTGCGTGTGGAGCCCAGGTGCCCCTGAAGGGATGCAGGGAACCTGCAGGGCTGAGCCGTGAAGTAGAGCACGTTTTCACCGCACACACTCTTGTTCCTCTCGAGCCCTGGACCACACCCTGGGTTGCCCCTCGGCCCTGGAGGTGGGCGAGGGGTTCCGTCTCTTTGTCTAGAAACACAGATTCCCTTTCTTCCCGCTGGACTGGCTGCCCTCTCTGATGAGGTTCAAAAACGATCACCGTCCTTCTTAGACCCCCATTCAGTCCCCACCACCTCCCACCCAAGCAGCAGGCGTCAGCCTCCCGCTGGAGCCCGGAGCCCAGGGTAGAGCTGTTGCAGCTTTACAACTGTCACAAAGGGCCTAGGGATGGCTTCACTACACAGCTGGAAACCAACAACTGGCAGCCAGCGGCACCCCTCTGCTTGTAAGTGCAGACCCTGCCTCGACCCTGCCTCCCGCCAGCCCACTGTCCACTTGGCTTCCTCAGCGTATACAGCGTGATCAGCCACAAAGTTTTCTCGGCTCTCGGCAATAGGGGGAAGCTGTTGACTTCTGAAAATATTTTGCCACTGTCTCATAGCAACAGACGTTCCCAGTGAAATATTGGGGGTCAGGAGTTGAACATCTGCAGCTGCATCCCTGACTGTGCCTCCTTCTTTGAATTTAGTTCAGGATCAAGAAACCTTAGCTGTCCTCCCAGATCGAACCCTCAGGGGAAGAAATGAAGCAGAATTCCACATGGAATTCATGCATGGAGTAGGGGAGATGGGCCTGGACTTCAAATGGGTGGGGGTCCTCCCTTCCACAGACTGCAAAGCGGAAATGTGATAAAAGCAGCATGCGAGACCCTAGTCCTGGTCTGTTTGAAATATCAATGGTGCCAAAAACCCTTGAACAAATCATCAGAAGCATGGCTGTGCCATTGGTAGTGTGGGTCGTCACGGTGATGGGGAAAGGGATGATGCCTGCAGGCCTCGTAAACTTTGTGGACGTGTGCTCTGCTGAATCACCTTATAGCAGGTCGTTGCCTGATTCCAATACAGGGGACTTGATTACGGTACCAACAGAATCTCCCAGGAGTCTGTCTCCTCTTAAACGCTTTGAAGTAAACTTGACTTCTAAAAGCCACGCCTACCAAGTGAGGGAGGCTGGTCACACTAACAGTGCCGCTTAATTTAATTTACTGTAATTTTCTTTAGGAGTTTGCAGAGAGACTGGCACTGCTATCATTTTTAAGGTGGAAGACAGGGGAAGGAAGATTTGCCCAAATCCAATAAAACTAAACCCATGGTACCAGCCTTTGGAAAGAAAGCAGAACAAGGGTCTATAGGTGATGGGAAACTACAGGTACTACAGGTGTGACAGACTGAAGTCAAACGATAAGCAACAGGAACCAAGGACAAATGACTATTATTATCACCATGTTATGATAGTTTATGAGGGGAGAAAACAATTAATGTCTGAAATTTTTTCAACTCAACTACCACTAGTAAGCATTGCATTTAGAAAATCAAAGGCTGACTTTCCCAAAGAAAAAGTCAGCCTAAAAGAGCCTGCCTGCGACAAGGCTGGGGACCACGAGTTTCCACCCTAAGCTTTTCTATGCCACATGGTGTTTTTAATCTTACACATAAAATAGCCTGATGTTTAAAACATAAAAGAGGTTGCAAATATTAACTACAATATATAAAAATAGGTAAAAAAACAAGCTGCTTCTGTACAGCACAGGGAGCTGTTGTCAATATCTTGTAATAACCCTTAATGAGAAAATACGAAAATGAATATGCATATATATATGCATGACTGGGACACTGTGCTGTACACCAGAAATTGACACATTGTAACTGAACTTCAATTTTAAAAAATAATAAATTTTAAACAATAATAATAAAAGAGGGGAAGAAGAAAGCAGGAAAGACGGAACCTACCAAAAATGAAGTTGTCAGGCCGGAAGAGCTGCCCGAAAGGCCCGGACCGCACGCTGTCCATGGTGCCCGGCTCCAAGTCCACCAGGGCGGCCCTGGGCACGTATTTCTGAGCTGGAAGAGAACAAAGCCCTCACGCTCTGGTTCCTAGAGCAGCACACCTCCCCAGACCGAGTCCCACCAGCACAGCTGCCTGGGACGGGCAAAGCGGGGTTTCTTCACAAGGAACCTGCTTGCTTAGAATCGCAGGATCTTAGCCCCGGGGGGAGGGGAGCCCCAGAGAACACAGCCCACCCTTGAGTCCTGCAGACAAGGAAAGCAGCCCAGGCACCGGAAGCTCCGGGAGAGGGCAGGATGAGGCATGAGGGCCCTCGACTTCCTGCCTCCTGTGTTTTTCCTGTTCTTTCCCGTGGGCATTTGGACTTTATTTGCTCCATGGAAACAAACGGAATCTATTGCGGCGAACTGCCGCGTTGTCGGGGCACTCTGGCGCCATGCCCCCTCACACACACGTGAGCCCACCAGTGAGTCTGGCACCTGTTCCACCCGCGCCCATGCTGTTGCCGGGACTCTACGGCTCACGGACGAGTGTGGCTGCGCAAACTTTCCTCCCCGAGCCCAGGTCCACCCAGGAGGAAACCTCCCAGCGAGGGTGGGTCATTGCACGTGGGAGCTGCCCTACAGCTCGTCCTGCAGTGCACACACCCAGGCTGAAGGATGGATGTCCCCACGCCCGGCCTGATGGGTAACAGCAAGTGCCAGGTATAGTGGAATTTTTTCAGTGCCATCCGGGAACCTCAGCGTCCACGTCCTGCTGTTCGAGACCTTTTGTCACAGCTGCTCAGGGACTAAAATGCACTTCTGTATCCTGCTCTCCCCAGCTGCTACGTGGACAAGCAGCAGCGACTCCAAAAAACAGTATCTCCGGGGACACACGTCGTGTGTGCGGAGGGGCAGCACCTGCCACTCTCTGGGTGGTCTTTAAAAAGTCTGTTTTTTGTTGTTTTGTGAAGAGAATATATGGCTTTTATAGTAAAACTTGCTGCAGAAATAAATTACACATGTAACCACAATATACATGTAGCTACCCGGGGCCGGGTGGGGGGTGCTGTTCTCAATCGGATAAACCACAGCCTGGAATCTTCACTGACTCCACCAGAAATGACCCAGGACCGCCTGCAGCTGCAGCTGCCAGGGGCTGTAAGGTCTTTCTGGGGGTCTACAAAGGGCCAGAAAAGACGTTCGAGGGAGTGTTTTTCACATTTTTAGCGAAGAATCCTCATTAAGGAGTACATTGTAAGCGGGAAGACAGAGCCGTACACCCCCCACGAGGTTGATTTCCCAGCACTACAGGGGTCTGAACCCCGGAGAGCAAGGCTGTTTGAAATGAGCCGACGGCGGATTTCCCGCCCCAGGGGGAGCGAGGGAGGAGCCGGGCACCACCCGGGCGGGGCTGGCCCGGCTCCGGGAGGGGAAGGGAGCGGTCGCGCCGCGCCACTCACACGATGACTCATTGTAGTAGACGTTGATCCTCTCCAGCTGGAGCGCCGAGTCGCCCACGTAGCCTCCGGCCGGGTCGATGCCGTGTTCGTCGCTGATCACTTCCCAAAACTT